GTCTGCAGCGGCAGATGCTGACAAGCATGGTGATGAAGAGAACTGATGGAACATTTGGGAAGTGCAAACCCTCATCAACTAGGATCTCACTTGAGCCCACAATCACAGAGGGCACAGAAGTGAAGAGCGTTAATGACCCAACATCCCGCAGGTGAATTCAGTTGGAGACCCTCATGACGCTCCAATTTCACGTGCCACGGACCATCTTTCAAAAGTCTTAGCACACCGCTGATCGCACCAAGAACCATCCAGATCGCGTGCTCCTCAGACTGATCTTATGTTGATGTAAAACCTCCTGCAGACCACTATCTGCTGAAAGAGAAGAGACAACGTCAGACTGAAGAAAGACAATCTGAGAATCTGATGATTATTTTCATCAGCTGCAGAAAAACTAAAGACAAACAGAGAAAAGGTTTTAATGTTGTGGTATTTATAATCATCTTAAAGGTCGATGCTGTGTGATGTAACAAATGACTCTGTATAAAACAACAGGTCCTGGTTTCAGAAATGATGACATCATCATACAGATGTTCAGTCTCACTTTGTTCAGTGCTGGTCTGACGGGCTGTCTGCAGTCCAGGTGTTGTTCTGGGTCTTTGTCCACACTGGGGACAGGAGAAGTCTCCTGAAGAACCAGACTGGTCCCAGTATGAGGTGATGCACTGTCTGCAGAACCAGTGTCCACAGCTGGTAGAGACTGGATCCTTCAGGATGTACTGACACAGAGCACAGCAGGATAGCTGCTCCTCCACAGAGACATGGCTCCTCTTCCTCCCTCTGTGGACATGAACAGATTTCTTTTTAAATAAATAATAAAAAACTTTCACAGATTATTTTTAACAGCACTGCCTAGATAATCAAATAGCAAGTCACTAGCCATAAATCGAGTATTCTAATCGATAGAAGCTTCTGTCGCTGGGGAGCTGCAGCATTGGTGATAATGTTGCTGAATGCAGAGCTGAAAGTTATATTTCCTGTCATCTCTCTACAGTCGACAATCAAAACAGACACAAAATGCTGATGAAAACATAAAGAAGTTTGTAGTAGTTCTCTTACCTTGTAGCTAAAGATCCAGGTTTATTACCTAGGACTGAAGGATCGTCTTTGGACCGGTCGGTGTTGAAAGAAATGGATCCTGAGGACTCTGGTCTGTCCTCGTCTTCCTCCACCCAATCACTCATCCTCTGGACTTCAGTCAGTCTGAAAGGGAAACCACTAACACTGACTGTGAGCTCACAAACACAAGAACTGCAGGAAGTCACAAACACACACAGACACAGACACGAGTGTTTGCAGTACTATAAAACCAGTCAGCACCCCACCTGGTCAGTTTACCTGGGTTAATTCTAGGTTCCATGTTTAATAATCAGCTCATTATATCTGTGTTGTGTCCACATATGAATCAAACTGTTGACAGACACTTAGACAGTAAAATAATAATTATGTTGTATTAACACTCACCTACTTCAGCCTTATGCTTCCCTCTTTCTGCTCCGTCCAGTTAAAATCTGGAGTCTGAAGTAACTGACGGAACAAGTTGAGTTTCAGTTCCTCTCCTCTCCATTTACAGAGTCTGCCTACGCGAGTGTGTGTTGCTTACCAGTTAAAGGTTCAGTGAATGAGATTTTTTTTTTTTAAGTTATTTTTTGGGCATTTTTGCCTTTATTCGGATAGTGAAGTGCGAGAGAGACAGGAAACTCAGAGAGAGAGAGAGAGGATGACATGCAGCAAAGGGCTACAGGTCGGATTCAAACCCATGGCCACTGCGTTTGGGAGTAAGCCCATGTGGTACGCACCGTACCAGGTGAGCCACCTGAGTAAATGAGATTTTAAACAGTAATATAGCAGTTATCAATTATTTTCTATGTAAAGATACATGTGCATGTTAGTAAATTCGAATCCTGTTAAGCAGTTGATCCTCCCCAGCTTAATAAACACACAGGCAAGCTGACACTGTGCAGTATTCAGCCTTCAGGTGAAAGCTGCTTTCCAGAGTTTCCTCCACTGAAGAAAACACTTTTTTTTTTTTACAAAAGGCCTCCAACAAAGAAAGTTTTTGCAGGCTCCATCAGTGTCTAAAATTGGTACCACGGTCACAGTGTCTTTACCATTTGTGCAACTGCAGTCCCAATTTCTTTCCCAGTCCAACCTTGGAGCGAATACTGGCCTGGCTTCACCAAGAGGAGAACCCTGCTAAAGGGTCCAGCTTCACTCAGAACCAACTTGATGGCTGCACAATAGTGACCTGCTACAGCAGACATGAAAACGTTAGCTAGCTTGCCTTTACCCACATTATGAATTTATTCAGCTAATGTTGCTAGCTGGCTAACTGTCAGCATTGCTTTGGAGCATGTCACAATGCAAGCCTGGACAAATGATTGTGGTGGGATTGTTTTTTGCCGCTCTCCTGTTACAACAGTAACTTTATTCAGTTGAGCCTCTTGTCATGTGTCTAGTGGCCACTTTACCTGAGGGGAGAGCTAAGGTGTGGCTGAGGACGCATTTGTTCAATTAGCTTCAAACTGAACGAAGTCTAAACTTATAGACTAACAAATATTATTCCTTCACTTCATTTTATCTTTAATAAACCAACGTGAGAGCTGACGGACAGAAAAGTTAACAGACAAAATGAGCAGAACACCAACTCTTGACAAAATCCCCGGTGGCGGTAAATGCTAATGTAACATTTCTTTGCTAACGAAGAAAACTTGGCTAACTTAAAAATTAGCTCAAATACTTAAAGACAGATGAAATAATTAAACTCACCTTGTTTCCTTTTCTACTGAAGAAAAATAAATCATTCACCTCTCCCGCACAGCCTTTAATTTAATACAAAATACCACGAGTTACCGTTTCTGTAACATTTTCCGTAACTGTCGAGTAACGGTTACCATATCCGCCTACATTCCTTTCAAAATAAACTTCACAGGAAATACAAAATAAAAGCAGAGTAAAATACACTAATCTGCTATTACCGTTAAAAAAAATGGCACCACTCTCAAACGTTTAAAACTTAAACCTCAGCGTTTCAAAGCTCATTTTAAATAGCTACACTACTGTCATTTCATTTACTATTATTTTGCTTCGATACTCCTCTTTCAATAAAAAAAGTCATATTTCCTTTTTCTCGCATTGCATGAAAACTGTTGATGCAATGAGATGTGATTTTAGTAGTGTTTCACGTGGTGTGTGTGTGTCTGAGTTTAAAAGAACTTCAAACAGAAAAATCAAAACGTGCAATTTGCAAAACTTTTAATGCAAAATACAGAACAATCTGAACATCCAAACCAACGATTGTGCAAATTTTGTTCTGTTTTTTTCTTGTATCTCAACTGTCAAAATGTCACGTTTTGGCATCATCCTCCTTCAGAAATGTGTATTTACCTGCATGTCCTTACTCCCATCACAGGTCAGTGGGTAACGTCTTCCTCATGTCCACTGTGAGGACTGACATCAAGCTCAGTCTCATTAAAATGCAGGACAGACTTCCAGACATTGTGGGTTTTGTCTCGTTCTAGGTTCCACATGAAAGAGGATTCCTTTGTGGGGAAACACCGTGAACAGGATTTCAGCCCATATTTCCTTTCCCCAAACTCACAGTGAGCAGAAGTTACTTGAGCGGCCTGCAGACAATCTACGCCACAGCGGGGATAAAGTACTGGAGAGACACGTCTTCATGCAGCAGAATCAAGTGGAGGACTCTCTGATGGACGATATCTGTGGGTGACAGAAAAATAATGACTATTCTGATAATTGACTTATTGTTCAAAAGTAATTATTCTCAAATAAATAAATGAGGACAAATGTCTTGTGTCCCCAGTACAGTTCATATTAATCCAGGTCACTGAGATTTTCCAGCATCAAATTCACGTGGTGTTTCAAATGTTTCCCTTATTATAATGCTGATGTCATAATGTTTGAATCATCACAGTGTATCTGCAGTCCCTGGGCAACCCCTCCACCTGGATGAGCTGTGGGCTGACTTACTGCACATGGCCTTGCTGGGGTTGACCTGCTGTCCCATGAGGAACTGTTGCAGCCTCCTGATGTCCACTCTGGCCTCAGCCATGGCCTCTGCGTCCCTGCTCTGAGACGCACTGCTGTCTTGTGAGGCGTCATCACCTGGAGTGAGGGGACAGGAGGCAGGGTAGGGTAGGGTGGGGTGGGGTGGGGTGCGGTGGAAAATCTGGGGTGGGGTGGGGTGGGGGGTGGGGGGTGAGGGGTGGAGGATGAAGAGACACGTGAGAAACAAGGGTCATGGAACCAGATCATGAACTGTGAGCTTTTCCATTAGCTGGGAAGAAGAAGAAGAACTAAAGTACAATAATAAAGCTGCATCCTCACATTTCATCTTATTGTTAATTTTTCTATTCATATTTAAGATATCTGACCTGCAGTGCTTGCTTGTTTATATTTCTTCTTACTATATTTATTGTTATGCGCCAAAAGACCAAAGAAAATTCTCTGTTCATTGAAAACCTACTTGACAATAAACAATTTTATTGTATTAATTGATTAGTTTTGCAGGTGTTGGTCCACTAATCAATGTAATGGACAAATTAAAAAAATCCTAAATTTAATCTCAATCTGTCCAGTAGATGTTGAGATATTTTACAGGATTGTTGTTAGTGCAGCTAAAAAAACAGGTGCAATAACAAGCAGTGTTTTTACCCCACGGAGGGTTCCCCAGGTCTTTGAAGTGAGTGGTGACAGAAACCAGATCAGTCTCGATCTTCAGGTTCATCTCTCCGCTCAGGTTGGCCTCGATTACCTGATACAAACACACACAGACAAACTTTAACTTACACACGTCACCTCAGAGTTTCTGCAGGTTTCAAGAAGCTGGACATGAGAACATTCACTGAAGCTTTAGACCAATCGAAAGGGCAATTCAATTTTCACGGGGTGTGGTTATTTTTTTTTAATAGTTTTGTCCATAATTTTTGTCAGCAGTGATAATGTTGACATATTTAAGCAGGAACACGTTTCCCTGCACACATCAACTCCGTCAAGCCGCATTCAGACAGGATTAAATTACAGGAGGAGGGGAGGCACAAAATGTCAACCATCTGGACGCCATGTTAGTCTTCACAGTACGACAGGAGGGAGTCTGTCATAATCTTCACCTTCAATAATGTCCATCAACCTCGTCTTGTGAGACATTTCAGTTTCAAAATCTGCCTCCAAACTTTTCCGTTCACCACATTAGTTCATGTTTTGTTTAACTGATTTTGTTTAAGATGATGTTAATGTTTAATATGAATATCTGATCCTACCAGGAAGTTGGAGAGGTTCTTCATTCTGTCCACAACGTTCTTCATGGTCTTCAGAGGAGGCAGGTAGATACTGACCTGCAGGGACAGACACATAATAAGAGATATTTTAAAAATCACCTGCACTTGTAAAGGAGGACCAATTCCAGAGGGAAGCTGTCGTCTGAAATTTGTCTCCAGTGTTTGGTTAAGTATGTCCGACATGTATGGGACTTCCCGGCGCTGTCACTTACATCAAAGTCTGGCATGCTTGGTTCTTTGAATTCATGCCAGAGTTTCCTGGGGATGACGTCAACCGGGACGTCGTGAGTGACGACTCGACTGATGCTGGACAGAGTGGGCTGGACAGAATGAGAACCAGTTATGTGTCTCAGACTTGACAAAGCTCTGTGATATTGTCATAGTTAAACCTGCGGTAACTCATTTTTCTGGCCACGTTTTCAGCAGGAACAAGTGGTGAACACTGCGACGACACATCATCACCAAACCGCATCCAGCAGTCACAGAGCAACCTATCACGTGGAGGGGTGTTTGTGTCACCTGATGAATCTCAGTCCAGTATGACCTCAACTACAGAGGCTTTTACAGCCGATTCTCTGGTTGTTTCTGCTGCCCCCAAGTGGCCAGAAATAAAACATGAAGAAAATAAACAATGATTTTATCAGTATCAGTGATACAAAAAAATAAGCATATATAATTACAACTGTTTTTAAGTTTGAATAAACTTAAGAGATCTGAGGCCTGATGTGGATGTAGTGGGACAGTCTGTGGTGACACACAGGGACAAACTGTCCTGCAAGAAATGACTTAGAGTTGGTTAAGTCATTTTTTCAGTCTCACCAGCTCTGCAGCGATGGTGAGGCAGGGACAGTGCTTCTTGGTCAGTTTCACTTTGACAGCCTTGGCGTTCTGGACCGTCTTCAGGGCTCTGGACAGGTTCTCTGGAGTCACCTCCAGACATATCTCATTGTCCTCAGAGGACACGCCCTCCATCTGGTACTCGTCGAAGAAGTTGGCCTGCAGGGAGGAGGGACGCAGTCACAGGATGAGCTTCATGCTCTCTTTCTACAGAGAGGAAGAAACACTGAAAACACAGCACTAAGGACGGCGGGCAGGATTCTACCCCTCACACACTCGGTTCCCTCCCCTCAGGACGCCGGCTTCACTGCCCCGGCTGTAGGACACAGAGGAGGAGGGCTACGTTTTGCACAGTTGATTGATTTTTGTTATTTTTGTGTTTTTTAATGCCTACACTATGTGCCCTTTAAACTACCCCCTGGGGTCAAATGAAGTTTCTTGAATTGACTTGTATACGATTGTAGACTGATCAGTCAGCAACGTTTTGATCACTGATTGATCATTTTGTTTCATCTTTTAAGATAAAACATCAAACATTCTCAGGTTTCAGTTTCTCAAATGTGAGGATTCGCTGTTTTTTGTTTTATCTCAGTTTAAATTGAACATTTAAGATTTAGACAGTTGTTCAGACCAAACAAGGAAAGTGCTTCACAGTGTCTCACACAGACCCATTCAATGATCTTCTCCTTTCTAGATTACCAAACCCAGACATTATTTTTGCTACTCTACTTCAGAAATATGTTTTAATATCTAATCTATCCTGGTGTCTTGAACTCGTCTCATTTTCCTGTCAATTCATCTCTTTTCTCTTTCCGAGCTCCTTGCAAACCTGCGTCAACTCTAGGTGTTTTCTTTCCTGACAGGTGAAACACTGACGTGTGCTCTCACCTGTGACAGCTCACACCACATGCTGACCCCTCCATTGGCCACTTTACCAGACAGAACGAAGAACAGGTTGTCTGGAGTCAGTCGCAGGACGCACATCTTCGTCAGCTTTGAGATGGTGGTGATGACTCCTGGTGAGGATGAGGAAGGATAAGGTTAGGGTTAGGACAGGGTACTTTCAGACACAGACAGAGACCAGGTCAGTCAGCCAGGAACTATTTACTGAATTTAAGACCACAACATTTACAGACTTGGTAGATTAAAGTAAAACTATACAAAGTTTACACATAAATAAAACTCATTTACTGCCTGGAAGTATCTGAACATTGTTTAAAATGACAGAGAGCAGATATGAGTCACTATCAGAGACAAAGGCTGAGAGTCAATGTGTTTAATGAGTTTGATATGTGATACAGTTCTCTTCAGGATGCTGGAAAACTCCAAATAAAACCAAATATTCACAAACCAACTGTTGGAGTAAACCATTATTTTATACTTCAGGATGGATTTTTGTGCTCTGAGCTTTTATGTTTTCACAAATACATATGCAAATATAATATTAGGAAGCAATAATCTTTCTTTAGGCTTTATAATAAATAATAATAAATTAATATATAAAGTACTGGACTAAATTCACTACGATAAAGAACAAGGCTGGACTTGACACCACATTTCATTTCTTTCTTCTTTTGGTGTCTTTTAAATTAGTGAAACGAAGCGGCCATTTTTAAGAAGTTAACAAATATTTCAGCACTAACTGCAGGCCGAACTGGAGACTTTCTCTGACATGTCCCAAAACTTAAAGACTGGACAAACTGCCGCGTTTTGAAACGTGTGTAGCGTCATATTATTTTCAATATCAAACGTGAAAGTTTTTGTGCGTACGCCTGGTGGCAGCTAACGGGCTAGCTGCGTCAGCCGGGAGCTAGTTTAGCTAACGGCTAAAGCTACTCACGGGTGAAGTGGTTGAGACACGCGACGTCTATGATTTTCCCTCGGAACTTCATCAGGAGTCGTGGCGGTGAATTAAAACCGTGAAGTCGGTGAGATGTTCAGCTCTTTGGCTTCAGGCGGAATATTTTTGAAGCGACCCGCGTTTGTTTGGTCCGTCCGTGGCTAAGGTCCGGCGGAAACAGCTGCCAGCGTCAATCTGTTAACCGTTCCTTCTGATGGGTTACATTTCTGGTTTGTAAGAAACACTATTCATATACTGCAGCTATTTCTTCATTCTGTAATGTATTTTATACTGGAAAATATATTTGATTATATATTTATATTTGATTTGGTATTTATTTATTCATATAAAGTCCAATTATATCCACACATACAATACCAGATGTGGAACTAATTTCTGTCTTTCACGATTTAAAACGACGACAGTGGTTGTAAAATAAAAAAGTACCATCATAAATGATCATTTATTTGAATTTGAGGTGTTACTGAATTTCCCCTAATTCCCTTTATCAGTGGAAAAAAAGCAGAAAATACAACTGAATACTGAATGAAAAGAGCAGAATAAGTAATTATAAAGGTTACCCATTTCTAATTAACTGCCTCAAAAGCAGAAAAATATCTACAGTAATAAAAGTCTTGTGTATGAGCATGTGTTAAGAGAAGGACCAAACAAACCCAGTCTCTCTGAGTGACCTTTCCTTGTGTGTAAGTTCTTTTTTTCTGCAGGGTGTTGCAAATAAAGGCTTGATTATTATTTGCTCAGCAAATTAAAATGTTATTGCTAATCTCCAAGCTCCCTTAGTCTGAAACAAAAGAATACCAGCCGGATTCCTCCAATAAGCTCCTTAAGTATCTGGACCAGAGTCAGTTTAAAGGTTTTGTTCTTCAGCACTGGAGCAACAGAGAGTGGAGAGTGAATTATTACAACAGTTCAGAGGGAAATCCTGTTCTTTTTAGTCACTGCATGTGTATACACAATCACTGACACTCATATGCACTGTCAAAGTTGACATTTTTCTCTTTTACCTTTTCTACTTTAATTATATTTTGCTGATGATACTGAAGTGGATGCAGGACTTACACTGATTTACACAAATGAGCCATTTTTCACAGTAAATACAGAGAAAGAAGAAGATTATCTTTTATTTTTTCCCTGTCTTTAACAAAGATTTGGTTTTGTTTTTTGTCCTAGTGTGTGCTTGTGTGTGTGCTATTTTTTATATGGAAATGCTCAGTTCTGAAAAAGTAAAATAAAATATATAAAATCTGTCTTTTGAGTCGCTTTAAATCACTAACTTTTTGACCTGCTGTGTGACTCTTTTTGTACGTGTTCCTGTTTATTCTTGTTCTTCGTGAATAAAGCAGCTCTGTCTTCTATTGGCTCGCTGCTCTGACCGGTGACCAATCACAGGCCGTCGTTGTTAATAAAGCCTTGGTGTGGAGTCGTCAGTCAGCTGGTCCTCTCAGGTGAGTCTGGAGCTGGTTCTTCTTCGTCACGGACGGACTCGCATCACCATGGCGCCGCTGTCCCTCCAGTCCGGGGTGAGGTACGCCAGAGCTCTGCTGCCGGAGACTCTGCTGAGGTGGGTGCTGGTTCAGTGTCAGTGGAGTCTGTGGCTCTCAGCTCTGAGGATATAAAACTTAAGAATGTAATACTCGTGGCAGGTCGGTGTCATCAGTCCAGACCACCATCTCTCGGCACATCCTGTCCCCGGCTCAGCCTCGCTGCTTCACGGTCTGCACCCAGAGCCGGAGGCGGCGGCGGAGCTTGGTGGCCTCCTCTGTGGACGAGCTGCTGGAGCAGGTTTCATGTCACATGTTTCTGAAGTGATATCAGAGAAGTCGCCATGTTGCTCAGGATTCAGTCCAACTGGTTTCCTCTGTGTCTCAGGTTGCCACGGTGTTTGTGTTGTCCTGCCACTTTCTGACCCTGGTCCTGGAGGAGGACGGGACGGTGGTGGACTCGGAGGACTTCTTCCGGTCTCTGCCCAGCAACACGCCGCTGATGGTGCTGGAGAAAGGAGAGATGTGGACGCAGAACAAGGTGAGAGTCAGCTGAGAGGAGAGACCAGGTGATCTCATCACAGCAGCTCAGAGGACGTGTGAAAGGATAAGATGATACGGAAGTGAAATTCACTGGAGAAAAAAGTTCTGCTCTGTGTTTCTGAGCTATTTTTCTCAATTAAGTTTCTTTTAAAGAACTTCTCTCTGAATTCTGGGATAATTATCAAAGCAGACAGTTACTTGTATTATTTTTTAAGAAGACTTCTGTAAATAATTGAGATAATTAATTCAGAAACACAGAGCATATTTTTTCTCAAGTGAATGCATTAGCTTCCATATGAAAACACTGTTGCATCAGTATAAGAAACGCTCTGAAGAGACGGACACGAGAGAGTAAATGTCACAGTAACTGACTGGATCATACACATGAAGTATTTAGATATTAATGTCAATCCAGATCTGTCTGAACGTTTGAGGCATTAAAAATGAAACTGAGGGTGTTTTCAGAATAAAAGCCATGACTACTTTTATTTCTCAGTAAAGAGTAAAAACCTAAATCAGACCAGTATTTGCCTTTAAACCAGCACCGGTTCTCCTCGTGCACCTGCTCAGTTCTGCAGGTTCTTGTTGTTGGTCAGTATTTTAAACGGGTGTGGAAATGAATCCAAAAGCCTCATTTGCTTAAAACCTGAGGATGTCAAACCACAACTGAGTCCAGATTCTCCTGCAGGTGATTTATGTTCAAGTAAACCACCAAATGTGGCGTTCTTCAGTTCGTCCACAAGATGGCAGTGTGTGTGTGTGTGTGTGTGTGTGTGTGTGTGTGTGTGTGTGTGTTGACTGAAATGATCAACCTGTTTTTTGTTGTGTTTGGGGGATTTAGACTTTCAGCAGGTGTGATCTCCACAGCATCACATGCAGGTTTTATTCATTGTACGTTTCAGATCTTACCAAGTTTCCGTCAGCCGAAGAGGAATGGGATTGCTAAACTGACCTTTGACCTCTACAAGCTGCACCCTAAAGACTTCCTGTGCTGCTTCGGCATCAAGGCCACTGTGTATGAGATGTACACGCTGTCCTACGACTTCAGGTGCACCACAGTGAAACAGGTGCTCAGGTGAGTTGACCTCGACCGGAGCCGCTCTCTGTTGCCCTGACTGATGCTTCCTTCATGCAGCCGCAGTGTGTTGGTTTCGTCTCTCCCCGTCAGGTTGGTGCTGCGCTGCTTCACCTACCTGACCAGACTGGCAGGTCAGCTGCTGCTCTGCACATCCTCCTCCTTACTGCAGTTCACCGGAGACGACGACTGCTAGTGTGTGTGTTCATTTAACAGCTCACACACTCCGTTTTGCCAAGATGCGGCTGATGAATCCGCTCCATCAGACTGAAATGGTTTTATTTAAATTGAATCTGGTTTTAACCGTCTGAATGTCTGTAGTTTCTGTGTTTAGACGTTTTATCTTTGTAAAGCTGTAAAATAGATGAAAAATGTTGCTGCTATAAATCAAACGTATAAATAAAGATTGTTTTTCTTGTTTATCCAGATCTCTAAGTTTCTGTCAGAAAAAAACAAATGATCTTTAAAACTAGAACCACCTCCTCGTGGTCGTATCCCTCCGCCGCTCAGACTAGTTCCAGGTCACATCCTATTTATCCAGAGTCAGAACATATGAACCATTTGTGTGAAATTTTGTCATAATTGCTGTGAAGTCTGAAGTTATAGAGGTCACACTGACCGTGACCTTTGACCTTTAGCCACCAAAATCTAATCAGTTCATCCTTGAGTCCTGGTGAATGTTTGTGTCAAATGTGAAGTTCCTTCAGGGTGTTACTGAGACATCGCGTCAACAAGAATGAGATGGATGACCTGAAAACAAAATGGCGGCTCTGACTGTCCCTGGCGGAGGATTTAAAAAAAAAAAAGAACAGTGGACGCTCTAGAGACAAAACTCTTCAAACTGATTTTCTCACTTGATTGTCATTCAAACAAAGAGTAAAGTGCATGTGTTTATATTTCATTATAGAACTTTAAGTTAGTTTAGACTTTGTTTTCTTATGGCAGGAACAAACAACCACCTGACCTCCGGGCTGAACCTGAACTCAGCTGATGGAGACGGACATTAAACGCTGTCTGCTGCAGGACGGAGGAGCTGCTGATGAATTCCTGTTTTATAGCTCAGCGCTGTGTAAACTGACACTGCTGCGGCCTCAGCAGCAGCAGCAGCTGAGCCGCTCTTCATCATCCTCTCTGAGGGAACGTCTGGCACATGTTCCCTGACAGGAGAGAAAATCCCCTGCAGGTGTCCTTCCTCATTCCTCCGAGCAGAGTCACTGTGAAGATTCAAACCTCCACCGGCGTCTGTGGCTCTGCCCCACCACACTCTTCTGTTTGTAGCAGGGGCTGCATCATGTTTAATGCTGAGTGGGACAAACTGGACTCTGGCTGGAGCCCATGGGTGCCCCCTCCCCTCAGGGCGTGGTCGCATGAACGCGCATGAGAGGAGGAGGAGATGAAGCCGGTCGCGCGCCCCCGTTTAACAGACGCGCACCGGCATCCGGCAGAAGAGGAACCGACAACCCGTCAGGAAACAGAAGCAGAAGAAACAGAGAGGGAGAGAAAGAAAGAAAGATGAGGGAAATCGTTCACATCCAGGCGGGACAGTGCGGGAACCAGATCGGGACCAAGGTACTGAGCGGGTTTTGTTCCCTGTTGTAGACTGAGGCTGATGAATGTGTTAGTGGTTCTACAGGGAGTTTACAGGACTCACTCTGACTCATTGGAATAACCTGAGCAACACGTACACTGATATAATAAATGTACATATTTAGAATTTCAGTACATGAAATATCTGAACATATAAAATAAAAACATGTAAACATCATATATGAAACCTGTTAGAAAGTGGAACTTTTAATATGTCTAGCCTGTACAAATATGTATGTTGTATATATTGTAGACATGCTATATTAATATATATCCATCTCTAAGCCTGTCAATACATGATCCTATATATATGATATTGATATTATAAACAGGACGGTCCAAAGGTCTGAGATACACGTTTAAAATTAATAAGAAAATAGTAATAAAAACATATATAAACACATAGAATCTTTATTCTTCTTGCAACATGTTACACCATATAAAAATTAATCATATAGTTTTATTATATGCACATACAAATTTTACTTTGGGTATTTCCCACATTATATAAACTTATATCTTCATATATCCAGAGGATGTATACGTGTGATAATACGTCACTCTTGATATAGGGTCATATATGTCATATATTACATGTCTGTATGGGAAGCACAGAAACATGTGACACGTGAACTCTGGAGGACGGTGAGTGAAATGTGTTCATGCTGAACAGGCAGATACAGAGTACAGAAGAGTGATGACTATAATGGATCTGCAGCTGAAGTTTCCAATCTGTTAGAATGAATGAATGAATGAATGAATGAATGAATGAATGAACGAGTGTCGGGAGCCTCTGCTCTCTGTCCTGTAATAAACTCATCACAGTGGTGAGAGGGAGTGAAGTGAACTCTCTGAGCCACTGTGAGACTATTCAAGGAATCTGGGTGAACAAACACACACACACACACACACACACACACACACACACACACACACACACACAACTATTCCAGTGCAAGTTCTGTGGGCTGTAAAAGTCAAAAGGCGTGAACCAGAGAAGAAAGTGAAGCAAACAAATGAACAGCGAGCAGGTCACTGTAACCACAAAGGCTGCTGGGTAATGACCCACTGTGCCTGTGTGTGTGTGTGTGTGTGTGTGTGTGTGTGTGTGTGTGTGTGTGTGTGTGTGTGGAAAGTATGTAACTCAGCAGAGACACAGCTTTTCAAACAAGGGCTCGGGTTGTAGATGAAAGTAGAGGAACAGCTGCAGCACAGTTAAAGATCCAGTTCATGTTGCAGATCTACAGTCAAACTGCAGAGATCACAAACACCAGTCTGTTCGTTAATTAACCCTTTAAAGGGTCAGTTCACCCAGATCAGGACCGTTTCTGACATGCAGGTTAACTGGTGCGGCAGCCTGTCCAGGGTTTACACCCAGGCATCAAGCCTCACAGCTGAAACATGAAGAACCAGAAGCTGCAGTTCCTCTAACGACCACTAGAGTCTGGCTCCAACAGTGAGTCAGTCCCCATAGACTCCCATGTTAAAATGTCCAACTTTACAGCAGAAATAAACATGTTTACAGCCTGGTACAAAAACTGTTTTGGTCTCTAGAGCTGATTTCCTCCTTCATGACACCTGTTTATATAACTCACCTGTTTATATAACTCACCTGTTAACATTTTATTATGGACTAAAGTTATGGAGGATTGAGGGTGTGGCCTCTTTGAGTGACAGGTGGGTGAGCGTATGTTGTTACAAACTGACAGTCATCAAGGTCCCTCCTCTTTGACCATTTAAGGATTAGCTGGGAGTTAGGGGTGGAGTCAGACACTGCCAAGATGGCGAGGGTAGAGCAGCTCACTGGGTGAGGTCATGGAGGCGGCATCCATCTTTATTTACTATGTGTGTATACCTGCCTCTCTCTCAGTGTCTGATGGGATTGGCTCCAGCGCCCCAGCCTCAAAGGATCAGCAACATAGCTGATGGATGGATGGATTGTATTGGGATGGAGACAGAAATCCAAGAGCTCGTATCCAACACATCTACTGTAGTTATGCATTTTGTTTTGCTTGAGTTTATTTAATGTGTCGAAAGAAACAGAATCATCCCTCTTCCTGGTTGGACAGACGTCATATAGATCCTGTAAATACAGAGGTGACAGAAGTGGAAACTGTCCACAGACGACTGCAGTCCACTGTGTCACTGCAGACTCTGACGGCCTGGACTTGTTAAGCTGTTTCTCTGTTGGCATTACATTTCATATCCACAGCCACTGCCAGTTTCTTTCATCTGAAAACAGCTGTGTGCAAAATCTCCAGCAATTTGTTCTTACAATTAAAAAACGTGGAGCTCTGCAGGTGGAAAAGGTGAGAGAGGGCAGGAAGTCAAGCGTTATCTGAGGTCTTTTCTTCTTCTTCTCTTTTTGTGCCGCTGCTGTGACTCGGTCAGTTTTGGGAAGTGATCAGCGACGAGCACGGCATCGACCCTGCGGGAAACTACGTGGGTGACTCGAGTCTTCAGCTGGACAGAGTCAACGTCTACTACAATGAAGCATCCTGTAAGTACAATGTGTGTGTGTGTGTGTGTGTGTGTGTGAGTCAGCGTGAGTCACACACTTCCCCTGAATGACTGGTGATGGTCTAAGTTTGGCTTCTACTAAAAGAATAAATCACATTTCACCTCTCAAACTAACATGAAGCATTTAGTCTTTATTCATCACTGTGATTTTTTTTCTTCATTTTATTAATTTCATCTTCCATCAGTGGATTTAAACAAGTGTAACGCTCAGGCGAGTCCTGCAGCGACAGGAGCGTCTCTTCCTCTGTGATTCCTCAGTGGGTTTATGGACGACCTGAAAGTGACACTCAGGCCCAAATTATAACAAATTAAAACTATTTTCAGTGTCGCTGTAACATTGCTGCTGGCAGCTGAAGAAGCAGAAGCTAAACCCCAGAGCTGACAGTCTTCTCTGTTCGTGCAGCACATAAATACGTCCCCCGGGCTGTGTTGGTGGACCTGGAACCAGGAACCATGGACAGCGTTCGCTCAGGAGCCTTCGGACAACTCTTCAGACCGGACAACTTCATCTTCGGTAACAATCACCAGGATGTTCGTTAGATTCTTTGAAACATATTAATTCTACCAGTTACTGGACTGAGCAGCTTTTTTTTTTTACTAATGAGTAACTCCAATTAAATTCATCAGTTTGATAAATATCTGAACTTAATTTTATTTTCTTGCTTTAATGGTACAAATATGAAAATCAGTGGAGTGTGTTTGTGTCTGGTGTTGCCTCTCTTTTAGCTCTGTGTTTGGTCTCCACCAGGAAACATCTGACTCTGAAACACTGAGACTGAACCACAACACGCCACAAAAACCAAAACTAGGAGCTAAAAGAGACTAAATCAACACCATAAGGTGTATTTGACTGGGTGTTGATGTTAAAAAAAGAAAAGGATTTTCGCAGCTTTCAGAGTGGAGGGGAGGTTTGTGTGGTTACACAGCACAGAGTGAAACTTTCCAGCATTAAATCTGCACAGCGAACAGACACAGCGGAGGCCAGCGTGTGTTTTATGTCTCAGTCGGAGCAGAAGCGGGAAGGTCGTAGATCTCGGTCTGACTCACACATGAAATCAAATCCAGCAGCTCCTCCGTCCTCCTGTCCCTGAAAACTGGGTCACCACTCCAGTCTGTGTCTGCACACATGTTCCCATCTGTTGTGGTGATCATTTTACATTTCACACATGGATTTTCTCCGTGCTGATTGGTCGTCCATAGGTCAGACAGGTGCGGGGAACAACTGGGCCAAAGGTCACTACACGGAGGGGGCGGAGCTCGTGGACTCAG